GTATTCTAAGGTAGTCATTGCTTATGAAATTATGAGAGCTCTAATTCATAGCAGACTCTAACCAGTTAAAGATACATGCTGCAATCTCTAGAATAACCACTTAGAGAATAAAATAAAAGTATGACTAACAAAAGGTATAGCTATACTAATATCAGGCAAAGTTTACAGTAAAGCAGGAATATTCTTAGAGATAAAAAGAGGCATTTCTTAATGTTAAAAGAGATAATCAACCAGGAAGATATAGAAATTCTAAAATTATACACTGACAGTCCTGATTTTATACATGCACAAGTTCCCATATGCACAAATATCAATTATCACAATTTAGTTATATAACACCAGAGTCCCAATGATAGGATTTAAATTACAATTAGCACAATATATTAATTGTAAGTACAGGAAGTACAAACTTCACTAATAGTCTTTCAATCCACAAATCACAATGATCAGTGACCAATCACTTCTTTCAAAGTCTGTCACTGATTGGTCACTGTGTATCTGTTATCCAGTTAATGCAGAGACAGAAAAGTGTGTAGTTGTGTTGCCTCCTTGTTTCTCAGTGATAAACCTACACGACATTTTACAAAAATGGGTAATTGAAAGGGGGAATTGGCCAATAAGGATGAACGTGTAGAAAAAAAAGTGATAATGCTGGAGGAGAAATGTGAACTAAAGGTAAGCAGAGTTATAGAAGAAAAAGCTGATGGGTGGGAATGTCAATTCTGCTGCCAATTGGAGGGACTCTAGAGAAGCAGCCAGAGGGACTTAGTGAAAGTAAAATTATCAACATAAATGAGAAAAGTGGTTGTGACAAATAGGATGAAGATGTCCCAGAGGAAGTGATGCCAAGAAAAAATTCACATTAAAAGAACTCTCAGAGATATTTCATAACATTGAAAGTGCAAAGGATAAAATGTTGGAAGTTGATCCAAACTTAGAATGGAATATGACAATTCACAAAGGCATAAAAAAACTGCTAGCTTTGTAATGTAAGTCATATGATGAAAAAGAAAAAGTCAAGTGCTGTTCAAACTACTGTTGGTAACATTTTTACAATGAAAGGAAACACTTTAATTCTCTATGTTTTTAAATGTTTTATATTTAATGAACTAAATAAATACCAGTTCTACTATTTAAAAATTTGTCCTTCACATGAGTTTAACATTGTGGCAAAAACTTTGAGTTCATGTAACAAATTACAATTTTTCCTCATTGATTATTAAGTTTGCTTTGCATAAATTTAGCTTGCATGATCATTTTGAGGTTCCACACTACCACACAAAGTGAGAATTGTATGTATATTTAGTAAGATAGCCTCAAAATGTATAAATCAAAAACTGATAAAAAATAAAGGAGAAATAGACAAACCCAAGATTATAGTGGGAGTTTCTAAAACATATCACTCATTAACTGATAGAAACAGTACACAGAATATCAAGAAAATATATCTATATATACAAAATATATATGATATAGAAACTTTCAACACAATGATGGGTGAATTTGATTTATCTTAAATATATAGAATGCTCTATCCAATAATTTCAGAGTACATATCCCTTTCAAAGTACAGGTAATATTTACCAGTATTGACCATACACTAGTCCATAATTCAAGGCTCAACAAATTACAAAGGATTGGAACCATACAAGATATACTCTTTGACCACAGCGACTTCACCCTAACCCTAACCCTAACCCTAACCCTGAGAATCAAAAACAAAAAGGTAACCAGAAAATCCACAAATGTTTAGAAGTTAAACAGCACACTTGTATATAATGCAGTGGTCAAAAAAAAAAAAAAAAGAAAGAAAGAAATCAAATGAAAATTGCAAAAATATGTTTGAACCAAGTGATAACAGAAATAAGATAATGCAAAACTTTTAGGATGTCACCAAAGCCATGCTTATATATGGAAATATTTAAGGAAATATATGGCCTTAATACACATATTAAAAAAGAAAAGAAGCCAAAAAATAATTATCTAAGCATCATCTCAAGTTATTAGAAAAAGAAGAGCAAGTTAAATACAAACATAAAAGAAAGTAAATAATGAAAATAAGAGCACATGAGTATGTTCTTTTTTTAATTATTTCCTTCCTTTTAGGTTTATACGTATACATTCCTTTTATCTATATGTACATACAGATATATGGATATGCACATAGACTATACATATTTTCTTTGGCTGGTTCTATAAAAAGATTAATAAAACTAATAAACCTTTTAGCAAGACTGACCAAAAATAAATAGAGAAGCCAAAATGTAACAATATCATGAGTGAAAAAATTTCTAGAGGTGGAAACATTACAAAGAAAATAAGAGAACATTATAGAAAACTTAATGCCAATAAATTCAAATTTTTAGGAAAAAAATGCACAAATTACTTGAAAAACCCAACTTACCAAAACTGACCTAAGAAGAAATAGAAAACCCAAATTCTTCTACATTTGTTTTAAAATTTTAACTCATAATTTAAATTTTTTCTCAAAGAAAACACAGGATCATATTGCTTTACTGATGAATACCTCTAGAATTAGCACCAACTTTACATAACATATCCCATAACTAGCGGGGAAAAAAACTTTTTAGAAGTCAATCATAAAACTTGATAAAACAGTAAAATAAAATTTAAAAATAGGAGTCAAGCTCTAATGAACAAAGATGAAAAAACACTTAAAATATTCACAAACAGAATCCAAAATTATTGACAAAGGATTATACATTTTATACATGTATATATATAAAACAACTCCAAGTTGTTATTTTTTTTTTCCAGGTATGTAAGCTTAGTTTAACATTTAGAAGTTTATCAAAGTAAGTCAAGACTTTGGCAGAACAGAAGACAACCTAATATGATCAACTCAACAGATGCAGAAAAAAGCATTTGATAAAATTCAGCTCCCTTCTCTCAGAAAACTATAAAATATTAAGAGAAATTAAGGAAGAAAGTAATTGAAGGAATACATTAGAAGACTCAATATTTTGTCTTTTTTTTTATTATGTTATGTTAATCACCATACATTACATCATTAGTTTTTGATGTAGAGAAGACTCAATATTTTAAAGAAAAACTCTCCCCAAATTGACTTAAAGTTTCAATGATATCCCAATCAAAATTACATCAGGGTTTTTTTTTTCCATATGTGGAAATGGAAGCTGATTCCAAAGTTAATATAAAAATTCAAAGGACCAAGAACAGCTAATGTAATCTGGAAAAAAAAGGAACAAAGTTTTAGGGCTTAAATTATCCAATTTTAAGATTCACCAAAAATGTGCCATAATTTAGAGTATAATATTAAAGCAAGAATATAAAGATCAGTAAAACAAAATATAGAATCAATAAATGAACCAAATACATATTGCTAGTTGACTTATGACAAAGGTGCACAGCGCAACACAGTGGGAAAAAGAAATTTTTAGTTTGAATAACAGTGGTTCTAGATGTATTGCATATCCATAGGGGAAAAATTCTTGATCTTTACCTCACACAATATATAAAAATTCCAGATGGTTTGTAGACCTATATATGGAAGGTAAAATAATAACATGTCTAAAAGATAATACAAGAGGGCATCTGGGTGGCTCAGTTGGTTAAGCAACTGACTTCAGCTCAGGTCATGATCCTGGAGTCCGGGGATCATGTCCCACGTTGGGAGATTGCTTCTCCCTCTGACCCTCCCCCCTTTCATGCTCTCTCTCTCTCTCAAATAAATAAAATCTTTTTTAAAAAAAGATAATACAAGAAAGTATGTTTGTGACAGGCAAAGATTTCTTAATACCATACTTAATACCATAATGAAAAGCACTTAACCATAAAGGGAAAGAAAGATAAACTGGACTTTTGTAAAATTTAGACATTCTATTTGTCTAAAGATACCATAAAAAGTAAGAAAAAGTAAGCCACAATATTGGAACATACTAAATAACATATAACCAAAAAAGGGTTACATTCAGAAACTTGTAAAGAAATCACATAAATGAAGAAGAAAATGACAGATAACCCACATCAAAATTGGGCAAAAGATTTGAATATGTCCTCCAGGAAAAAAAAGAAAAGAAAAGAAAAAGGATATACAAATGGCAGTATACATTTAAAAAACTCATTAGTTGACATGTAAAAGCAATGGACACCACTGAGGGGACACTTTTATATGTCCAACAGCATGACTAAAATTAAGACTTGACATACCAAGTATTGGTGAAAATGTGAAGCATTTGGAATACTCATAAGCCCCTGGTGGGAGTTTAAATTAGTACAACCACTGTGGAAGCTTATTTGGAATTATCTAGTAAAGCTTGTCATCTGCATACCAATGATCTAGCAGTTCCAAATATACCCAACTGTTTATATACATTCACCAAAAGAAATGTATAGAAATGTTTATAGCAGAATTATGCATAATACCGTAGAGAAAAACTGGAAATAACCCAAAAGTCCATCCATATGGATAAATAAATTGTGGTGTATTCATACACTGGAATGGTACACAGCCATAGAAATGAACTCTACTGCTAAATGCCATGGCATTCTTACAAACAGAATGCTGAGTAAGAAGGAATGACACACAAAATTACATACTCAAGTGTTTCACACAAAGTTCAAACACAGGCAATCTCTGATGATATAACTTAAAAGAGTAGATGCCTCTGTGGTATCATGACCGAGAAGGGCAAGGATAATGCTTTATGGGGTGATCACTACTCTGTTTCTTGATCTGTGTGATGGTTGAAGAGGATGTTCACTCTGTAAAAATGTATGGATCTGTGCATTTCTGATGTTTGCATTTTTCTGTGTATATGTTACACTTTGATAAATGGATTTACTTACAAAGAAAGAAGTCCAAAATTCAAAAAGAGGTGAAAATAAATTCAAAATATTAAAGATGTTGAGAAAAACAAAAGGAAATTTCCTGACAAGCCATTGCAATGTATCATTTTACACACACACACACACACACACACACTATCCATTCACAAAAAACCATTTGGGTCACTTACTTTTAGCCACACCTCATCCTCTCTCTCCAGGCTACCTTCTGTCTGCTCACTTCTTTTATCCTGAGGTCTATTTCCATTGGTGACACAGGGAAACCAGCCAGTAAGGGGATAGTGCTCTGGTGAATCTGGATGGTGTGATGTGCAAATCTGAAATGCAATTTCGACCAAAAAGTAAATGTGGAGGGTGAAAGATAAGTAAAGACAATGAAACTCTGTAGCTCAAAACCAAAGTTTTCCTCTCTTTCTGAGTACTTAATGATTACTGGCAGAAAACTTTTCTTAGTGTAGAAGAATGCTCTCTGCTAGTCTCAGGATATAACTTTTCTGGGTAGAAAAACACACATGATAACCCTCAGCCCACCATAAACCCAGAGAACTTGCCCAATGAACAGTCCTGGCTCATTTCAGGCAACTGCTCCTCGAATCAGCCACAGACCTCTGTCCAAGATGATGGTTATATCCTTACCAGGCAGGATCCACCAGTCCCGGCAGTGAGGCTACTGAGTTAGGGAGCCACTGAGCATTCAGCTGGGTTTAGAAGCCAGGGAACAGAAACTCCAGAAAATTTCTCCTACTTTAGTTAAGGAAGACAGACAAGCTAGACGACAAGCAACTTCAGAGAGCTGTTACTAACTCAGAATCTTCCAACTTCCCTGGCTTCCTGTCCTTGGGCACCAAGAACTCTTGAGAAAGATGACAGATTTCACTGTAGAAGTGTGGCAGACACGGCTACTTGCCTCCCCCATATCCTTTCCCCTTACTTTCAAACTCTGATTTTGTTCAAGAGGGCAGTGAATCCAGTTAAAAATGCTCATCTCCTCAGACGCCTTTACAACTGAGGGTGATGAAGTGACCTGGGTATGACCAATAAAATGTTGATGGAAATCTGTAGTATTAAACTTCCAAAAAAGCTGCCATGATTTTCCCAATAAAAAGGGAAAGACTCAGTTAGCATATACCTATTTCCCTGTGAACTTCCCCCATCTTCCTGCCTGGAATGCTGACGTCATGCCTGGAGGAGTCATCTTATGAGGAGGAGGAAGGAAGCTGCAAGCCAAGGATAGAAAGAGCTAGAATCTAGAAGATGCCTGGGTCCTTGAGGAGTTTCTTGAACTAGAGCACCAGCCCTGGCTGGTTCCTCGATTTCCTGGGGGTGTCTGCTTAAGTATAAAATCCAGTGATTTCATCCTGGCCTAAAATACCTAGAGAGCTTAATCTCACTTCTGTTGAAAGGACGGTATTGCTTATTGTTATGATGAATGGAAGAGTTTAGTTGGCAATGGATGCATCTAGAATAGTACCCAAAAGCCAAAGCCCTTAATTTTCTTTTCAGTATTGAACTATAATTCACAGAAGTCAGTCCTTAAAGTCCTCAGAGGATCTCCTATTTATTTAGGTGGAGATTCATAGAAAATTGTATACCTAAGGATTTGTTTTTAGTACTAACTGTAGAATTTCTTCAAGAATAACAATTCTTTAAATTGAGTTATACTTTGATCTTTAATATATTTAAATTCCATTTGATCCTTGTAATAAACATATTGAGTTAAATCCAAAAGTTATTACTATGACCCATTTTATATATGAGAACATTGGGGTCTGGAGAGGTTAAGTGACCTGTCAAACCTCGCTTAGTAATAATAATAGTAATACTGGTGAATTCAGTATTGTAATCCAGGCATTCTGACTCTTTACTACTTCTTTTTAAAATAAATCCTCCCATACACAAAGATCAAGTGTAATTTCTGGTATTTATATATTTGAGATTAATTTTGAGATGCTCTGTATCCCTTAGAGTTAGTTACTGCACAGCCAAAGGCTCCTGGATGAAACCTGGTGCGGGTAAGTAGGGTATGGGGGCGGGGGGGTGGAGGCGCGGAGAGGAGACTTAATTGCCAGCCTAGCAGTGTCCCATTTAACGTTACCTTATTCTGAGTTCAGTAGGGACTAAATTTGATATCAAAGACAGGAGAGAATGTAAGCCCCCATAAAGCATCTGAGAGAGAGCATCACTTGACAATTCTGCTCAGCCTTAACTCAATTCTTCTGGCTTGATTTACCATTGAATGAGGTTCTCCAGTTACCAAGGAAGCAGGACACTTCTTGTCTTCATGAGAGGAGTAAGCTTGGGTGGCCCATTGATCCAGGTATCCTTTGGGAGTATAGAGGCCACAGTCTATGATGCTGGTTTCCTTCTCAAAAGGTTCACATATCCCGTCTCCCTCATATATGTAACATAGGCTTGGCTCCCCTGCCAAAAAATATTGTATGTTTAAAAAAGTGTTGTTATATATGTTATGCAAAAATCATTATATTTTTTCTCTAATCCATGAAAGAGAATCCTGCTACTGTCAGCAGGTCTAATGCTCACCCCAAACATGCAGACAACACACACACACACACACGCACGCACGCACGTGCATACACATGTGCAAGGAAAAAGGATCCTTTTTCATGGGGAGAGGAGTAGACTCCATCTGTATAATAAAAGGTATAGAAAGTGGTGGGATTTGTGGACAAAGAATAGGGAGAAAAAAGTAAGCTGGAGGTAGAAAGAAATGTTAAGGCATCATTGAACAAGAACCTGAGGGAAGAAGGAGCTAAAAGAGCAGTAGATAAAAGAAGAAAGAGAAGTTAAAGAAATGGTATGATGTGTTATGCACTTGGATCCCCTTCATGGTTTTTGAAATATTAAAGTAGTTGAGGAATTTGTTTTCAATTACTCTTTGTGGAGGAATTCTTTCTTCAACTAAGTATGCCACAGCTCGGACATGGACAATATGGGCACTGGGTTTTCAAGGCTTACATAGGTCTTTCCTTTAGACTTACAACAACCATGTTGGGTGGGTAATTTTTGTTTGTATCATACATGGGAAACATTTTGCCAAAGGTCCCTTGATACACGAGCAATAGAGCTTGTATTTGAGCCAGGTCCACAGAAGGCAGGTTCATGGGGGTTTCCATCAAGCTGAGGGAGAGGCACTGTCTTCAAGAGCAAACAGGTGAGGAGTGAGGCTGTACGCAAACCTGTTGGACTACTGTGCAGCGAGCTTGTATTCCCTGGACAAGTCCCACCTTGCTCCCAGGATAACTCCGCCTAAGTGAACAGTACCAACTACAGTACGTAACTAGCTTTCTTCAAGTGTGGAAATCTAAGGTGCAATCAGAAAGCCACTTATTAAGTTCTACTGATTTTTCTACCAAAATGTAGGACAATGAACATTAGTAGCATGATTCTAATCTCCTAGTTCCACTTAAAATAATAGGACGTGAAAATAATATCAAGATTTGAAAATCAATCAACATATAGGTACACATTCAGTACCATCATTACTAAAATTTACTGTTACTATACCATTCTTGTTATTTTTCATTCTTCACAATACCACAGGGATATTGAAGTGATTTTTCAGTGGCTTATCAACATGTAGCTACTAATTATTTTCCTTCATAATTTCTTCCAGTCTAAGACCCTTCTGTGGTAAATCTGTCTCTACTTGCCAGGAATAAGCCAATGTTCTTGGACTTGGTTCTAAGCCTATTTGGGGTTTTAAACTCCTGCATTCCATCAAACCCATGGTCTTCCCAAATCACTCCCCCCAAACCAATATATATGCACATATATGTATATACACATGTACATGTGTTCATGTACATAATCATGTGTGTTTATATGTATGTTTGCATGTATTTTATGTATATATATTTTACAATATATTTTATAATGTGTATATATTTTACAATATATTTTATAATGTGTATATATATGTTTTGTTTCTCTATTTATAACACAGTGAATGTTTCTTCTTGCTTCTTCTATTTTTTTTTACCATGGACTTAAAATTTTTGCCTGTTTTTTCAAGCCCATCTAAAAATAACAGACCACTTTTAAAACACATTTCACAATAGTTCCTTCAAACCTAATCTTCTTTTAAAAGAAGATTTATTTATTTACTTTAGAGAGAGAGCATGCATGAGCCGGGGGGGGGGAGGGTAAGGGGAGAGGGAGGGAAAGAGAGAGAGAAGAAGACTCCCCGTTGAGTGTGGAGCTCAATGTGGGGCTTGATCTCACAACCCTGAGATCTGACCTGAGCCAAAGTCAAGAGTTGGACGCTTAACCAACTGAGCCACCCAGGCACCCCTCTAACCTAATCTTTTAAGAAATAATGGAATATATGCTTAGCATACTATGAGCTTATTATACAATGAAACAGAAGTCTAACTGTGGAATAGATCCTTTTAGTCTTACCCTGTAAAGTTAAAATAATTTAGACATAGTCTTACTGGATTTGGAGGCTAAGGAAATAAGAGCCAAATGTAATGGAATCAAATGTGTTAGAAACAAAGCAAGGTGGGCTCTTAAGTTAAATGAGGCTTGGGCTGTACTAGAGAAGACACAGCATTTGGAGAATATATGTGTGTGTGTATGTGTGTGTGTATTCAACATAAGCCCATTATGTTACCAAAATAAACCCAAAAAACAAAAAAAAACACAATGCAAACAGAGGTGGCATTAACAAATACTTGTGTACAGAAGAGGGGAGGTAATCGGTTCAGTGTATTCTGCATAGCCAGACCACATCTGGAGTATTGAATTCCTTTCTGGGCATTGACCACACAAAACATGCCAGGTTAGGGTAAATAAGAATGGGTCTGGAAACCTAATCACATGAGGGGATGTTTGGATTGGAAAGGAGAATAATGGGGAGGCATTTCAAATATCTGCATGGTAGTCAAATAAAACAGGGGGAAGAAATTATCCTCTGTAGTTTCACAGCAAGGAAAAAGCACTTGATTAAGCATTAGGAAGCTGAGCTCCAGTGCTGGCCTGCAAAGCTTTGCTGTATGCCTGTGGATGAGTCACTACAATGCTCTGAGCCTCAGTTTCCAAACCAGAAAAAGGGAGAAGAATTTTATAACAGATAAAGCCATTCCTAAGTAGAATGGTGCATTTCAAGGTGTGTCCTTCACTGCTCGTAGTATGTAAGCAGGAGCTAGAGGCCCCTCTCTCAAGAACTGGCAGAAGAGATTTCTATATGGGAAGGATGCTGGACTCCAAATCGCTGTTAGACTGTATACAGGAAGGAATCAGGGTATCTATCAGACTCATGGTACATGGCAGATACTGAATATGGTTTATTAGATGGATGGATGGAAGACTACTAAGATTCTATAATTTTATGATCCTGCTCTAGATAGCAGAGGCATTTGTGTGTTCTATCCAGTATTTAACACCTTAATAAATTATACATAATTATAATCATATCCTCCTTTACCTTGAGATTTAGAGGCATTAAAATATTTTTCAATGCACTGCTCTTTAAAATAACTTTGGTGAATGGTTATGTTCCACTGAACACTGCAATGTATGCAGATGGTAATTTAAAAAAATAATCTACGTGTTAGAAGCCCACTGATGATGTATTTAACCAGAATTGGGAGAAGTGTTCTGGAGAGCCTTCCTGTGTGGCAAGAACCTAGAGTCAAAGCCACCTAATGATAATTTATTACTAGTGATTTTCCAGGATTAAGCAGTGTTAGGACCCCCTGTCATCTGTCATGATCTTATCTATTAAGCACAACCACCAAGAGGTACCTTGTACTCCCTTTGGCTTAGAATGCTTCCTACACTGATTTTGATGTAGAACCTCTATGATTGTACTGCTTGGCTGATGCTTTGATGTTAGACATGAGGACCCAAGAGCAACTGGTAACATTAATCAAGGAGGCGATGTAACCCAGTGGTTTCACATGTAGATCCTAGAGCCTCACTTCCTTGGTTCAAATCCCATATAAAAGAAAGCAAGTTATTTGAACTCTCTGTGCCTCAGTTTAGTCTCTTCACACTTAATGTAGGGACTAAATGAAATGCTATATGTGAAACAGCTAATGCCTGGCACACAACAGACACATCAAATATCATTGTTATTAGCATCTCACTATATGTTATAGGATATTAAAAGCTCAGGGAAATAAGACACAGAGACACCTGCAGAAATAGGACATAAGCCTAGGAGGCGCTCCTCAACCCACCTGCACAGTGGAAGCCTTCCTCCAGCTGGCACGCCCTTGAGCAGCCATCTCCGCTCAGAAGGTCCCCATCATCACACTCTTCTCCCAGGCTCCTGGAAAGTAAAAATATACATTCTTATATACATACATATATAAAATAGTTTTTCTTGTTTAGTTACCATTATTTTAAATTCTTAAAATTCCCAATTACATATTAAGAAGTACGAGTTGGAGAAAAGCAGGAGTTAAAAAAAATGCTTTTACAGAAAAAGTAGCTCGTGGCTCAGAAACATCTAGGAGACCCATGAGGGCCCTGCCAGTGTTTCCGGTGGATGGCATTAAGGTAGAAAATGCATACCAGCCCTATGATAAGTGAAATCTTAGAAATAGCTGGTTTGGTGAGGAGGAAACCTGCCTGCCTGTGTGTGGTTCTGTTTTCTATTCGTTTTTACCTGATATTTCTTCATGTTTTCATTGTTTTATTCTATCTAGATGCAGTTGTTAAAGTTAGGATTTTGTAGAACTGAAAGTTCCTGTTTTATATACCAAGAGACTCAGTAGTCTGCTTGCTGCCAGGTCTCAGTCCAGGGCAAAGCTAAGGCTCGGTCCTGGTCCTCACTCCCTACTACCACCTGGTGGCAGCTATCATATATTGCAGGGGAGAAATGAATACTGGGAAAAGAAAAATGTCATTGTTTTGTTTTGAACCTCAAATGCTGACACAGCTGATGACTAATTTGGATTTGAGTGGGAAAGTTAGTTTAGACTAAGAGCTACAAGAAGCATGTTATGAGAACAAAACAGATAACACAGATGCGGCCATTGTAAATGGATTGAGGGTTGGAGCCCCCCGGGTGGCTCAGTTGGTTGAGCATCTGCCTCTTGATTTCAGCTCAGGTCCTGATCTTGGGGTCCTGGAATCTAGCCCTGAGTCGGGCTTTGTGCTCAGCGGGGAGTCTGCTGGAGATTCTCTCCCTCTCCCTTTCCCTCTGCCCCTCCACTCACTCACTCTCTCTCCCTCTCAAATAAATAAATAAATAAATAAATAAATAAATAAATAAATAAATAAATAATTTAAAAAATGGACTGAGGGTTACCATTTTTTTCTTCTTGGCTTTGCACCACATCCAAAACAGACACATATTTTAACTCAAGTAGATAAAGGGTGTTGGCATGCTAATGTGTTTTCAGACCCAGGGCATGACTAACCTTTGTTTAAAGGATACCTCCTCATGGGGACAGAGTAAAGATTAAGTAATTAGATATGAGAAAGCTTTAAAATGAATTAAAAGCATGCTATAAATGCAATTATATAATGATATTTTAAATGGTAGGATGGAAATGGAGAAAAGATAACAGAGCTGTGAAAACCATGACTGAAGAAATTAAGGAAACTTCAAATTCCTTTATTTTGGGGGCGCCTGGGTGGCTCAGTCGTTAAGCGTCTGCCTTTGGCTCAGGTCATGATCCCAGGGTCCTGGATCGAGCCCTACATCGGGCTCTCTGTTCAGCGGGGAGCCTGCTTCTCTCTCTCCCACTCTGCCTGCTTGTGTTCTCTCTCTCACTGTCTCTCTCTGTCAAATAAATAAATAAAATCTTTAAAAAAAAAACAAAAACAAAAAAACAAATTCCTTTATTTTGAAGATAATCTCAACAGCTAATATAAGCATGTTGTGTATCATCTCATGTACTGCTGCCCAGCAGAAACAGGAGTAGTCACATTTAAAAAAAGAAACAGGTAAAATTAGTTTTGATACCACATTTCATCTAACCCAATATATCCAAAATATTGTCATCCAGTAAGTAATCAGTACAAAAATTATTAATGAAGCAATTACATTCTTACTTATGCATCCTACGTCTTTGAAATCTGATGTGTCTTTCTCACTTACAACACATCTGAGTTCAAACACTTGATCCGTATTTAGATTCACCGGCCCAAGTTGTTCCAAATATACTTAAAAGTTTTCTGGGGCGCCTGGGTGGCTCAGTCGGTTAAGCGGCTGCCTTCGGCTCAGGTCATGATCCTGGAGTCCCGGGATCGAGTCCCGCATCGGGCTCCCTGCTCAGCAGGGAGTCTGCTTCTCCCTCTGACCCTCCCCACTCTCATGTGCTGTCTCTCATTCTCTCTCACACAAATAAATAAAATCTTTAAAATATATATATATATATATATTTTTTTTTAGGGGCGCCTGGGTGGCTCAGTTGGTTGAGCGACTGCCTTCGGCTCGGGTCATGATCCTGGAGTCCCGGGATCGAGTCCCGCATCGGGCTCCCTGCTCGGCGGGGAGTCTGCTTCTCCCTCTGCCCCTCCCCCCTCTCATGTGCTCTCTCTCATTCTCTCTCTCTCAAATAAATTAAAAAAAAAAAGAAATATCTTAAAAAAAATAAATTTTAAAAAAAGACATTGGGCGCCTGGGTGGCTCAGTTGGTTAAGCAACTGCCTTCGGCTCAGGTCATGATCCCGGAGTCCCGGGATCGAGTCCCACATCGGGCTCCCTGCTCAGCGGGGGGTCTGCTTCTGCCTCTGACCCGCTTCCCTCTCGTGCTCTCTGTCTCTCATTCTCTCTCTCAAATAAATAAATAAAATCTTTAAAGAAAAGGAAAACTAGAGTCTCAGGATGACTTCTTGGGGATCTGCGATTCCCTTGGATTGAATCTATACATTTCTCAAGTTTAAAACAGCGGGTTAAAAAATTCATGTCTCTCCTTCTTGTTGTGTGTGTGGTGGAGGGCCTCCAGCTGAGACAAAGCTACAATCACAGATACCTTCCCCCTGGAAGGCAGAACTAAGTATGACTCTTTACAGAGAGGGAAGACCGGGAGAAGTGTAAAGGAGCGTTTGGATGAGGAAGCTTGTGAGGCCTAGCAGCCAAGCAGCTGCTGCTTCAGGTGAAGTTGTTTCAAGACCCAGGAGACAATGTGTAAGAGCAAGTTAGGAAGATGGCTCTTCCACCCTTCCTGCCCAGACCCCCAGCCAGATGTGGCATCCTGGGGCCTTGAGGTGGCCTCTATCAGAGAATTGCTGGAGGAGATGCTACAACATAGGGCAGAGTCCTTTGCTCAAGGAGGGCTCTGGCTGGGTAGTAATGGTAACCAAGCCACCCCAAACACTGTAAGAAAGAGGTTGTCAAAGCAGGGACAGGAACAACAGCATGTGCACATGTGAAGCATCCCCAACTGAGATGGAGGAAGGGGACTAGAAAGCTGGGACTGGGTGAGGCAGAAGGTGGCAGCCAACTAGCAAGGTCTGGGTGTTAGCAAGGTTTGGCTTACACCAAAGGTTAAAAATCTTAGATCAAGAGAAGAAGCAATGTTTATTGATTGCTAAATGATGGGAGGGGATCCCAAGAAAGGCTACAGAATTCTTTCTATTAGGGCCTTGGGATACTATGTATTTTCACCTAGTCTGGGAAATTAATAATAGGGCATCTTATTAGGATGCAGAATCGAAGACAAATCACAGTGCATGGCCATCCAGCCTCCTACTCCCCCAGCTCTATATAACTAACAAATTAGGTTTGATGAGCATTCAGGACAGGTGAATATAGGGTGACTGGTGGGACATGGGAGTCTTCAGTGCTAGATTTGAGAAAGTCCCAGATAAACCAGAGTGAATTAGTTGCCTAGGCTGATATCACAAAAGGCAACAGAAAAAGGAACATAATATGTTCAGAAGCCAAAGTAGTGATTTCCTCTTTACCTTGGTGCTTTTATAGAATGGATGTAAATTACATTGTAGTCAGATCTTCCAGAGGCCAAATGAGCCAGTGAAGCTCAGAAAGCTATACTGACTTTCCTCAGGTCACACAGCTCCTTGGTAGCATAAGACAAGCCACTGATCCAAAAGATACCCTCATGTTGTCTTTTAGCATCATCTCACAAGTAACCTTCTCCCCTATAAACTCCTTCTCTCTATCACTGCCCAGTAGTTGTCCTCTGAAACCTTAAGAGCTGCCCCCCACCGCCAAATCAGCCCCAATATCTCAGTGGGTGAGCTCTAAATAAAAGTGAGCTTCTCCTTAAATAAGATGTAGGTGACCTTTCAAGATCACTACCAGGTCCTAAATCTTGTTTAATGCTAGAATCACACAGCCCCCAAGTTCCAGAACAAGTCAAACTAAAACTCAAGATTAACCCTCCTGGTCTGAGCCGGGCAGGACATTCTCGCTCACACATTCTCACACACCCCGATACTCACCCCGCCACCTTCCCATCTCCACAGTAAGGAGCTCCATGGATATGGCTCAGCGGAGGTGAAGCTTCTCCCAGATCTGTCCCAGCTCCAGCTTGAACTTGGTATTGATACATCTGCCCCGGTGTGACCTCCCTGTGGAAACCAATGAGCCATGACCACTACATTCAGAAAGTGAGACGTTGCCCTGGGTCCTTCACAGATGGCTTACAGGAATTTAAAAGATATTTATGGGGAATGTTAAACATATGCCACGTTATGTGAAACAGAGATCAGGGCACAGAGTTTTACACAGCAGCAGAATGTTTGAAAGCATACCGGTTTCGGTATTCCCAGTATGTTCCCCATAGTGATCATGCAATAAATACTGGCTGAAATACCACTGAATTAACTAACGGTCCTGCACAATCTAGGAAGATGGCATTTCAAGTATACCTTTATCATGTTAAAAAAAAAACAACAAGCAACTACTGTAAAACTAGTCTTCTGTATCCTCGAAGTAATCAAAGAAACTGAAGAAGAAAGCTTCAGTGTTTGGATTCAGCAAGGCCCTTCCTGGGTCTGCAGATCACAGTTTTCTCATCTCTCAAGATAATTCTTATCTTAAAGAGATTGCATCCTTAGAGGGAAGGACGAACTGTCTCCCAGGAGGTGAGAACACCTTCTACCATCATTTTGGGGATGCCAGAAATCCTGCAGCTAGAAATATGTTAAATTACTCCCCACCTCTAAACCTGCCAAAATGCATAGATGCCAGGAATGGAGTTTTATTGGTTGACATCAGAGATGGAAGAAGTTTATCAGACTCTCTTTAGAACCCAAGTGCACTGATCAGGTGGAGAGCATGAGAGAGTGAACATTTAAGTGAGGTCAGGGTCTCAAGAGGGGGACTGCTATTTCCCAAAACAAATTCTTCCCTCCTCCTCTTGTCCCATGCCTGCCCTAATTGGAAAACGACCGCCAATATCAAGCGAGAATGGGAGTGACTTAGGAGGACAGGATCGCAAAGGGTTGTTGGGGCTGCCCCGATGGCCACCATAAACCTCCTGCCAAGACCCTCTCTTCTTTAACAGATGCTTCAACTCAGCCACAAAGCCTCCACTCTCTCACTTGATGGTGCAAACAGCAAATGGGAACTCTCATGGGGTTTCCAAAACATCTTCAAAAACCTCTGTACTGGCTTTTAGTTAAATAGGAAAGACACCTAAATATTAAAGACTTTTAAATTTACACATCAGCTTTCTTTAGGGAAACTATCTTCTCATGAGAGTGCCAGATATTTCAAAAGCAAAACCAATTTCATATCCTCATCAATTCTGATGGCTTCCCTTCTCAGGGCAGTTTCTCATCCAGCCATGCGTAAAAGCCTCACCTTGCCCTGCAGCTGGGAAAGGACTGGATGGTAGTGTCAAAATGTGTTTATACTTCTTGTGGAGAAAACTCAGCAGCAGGTAGCCCAACCTTCAATGATCTGAATTTATAAGAGGCAGTGTGTCACCAAGGAAAGGGAACCAAAATGAGACTTGGAAATTGGATTTTAATCTTGAGTCTGCCATGACTAGGTCTGTTCAACCAAATTAAGGTTACCCCTTAGTTTTCTCATCCATAAAATGGGATATTATTGACTTTAAAGGTTGCGTGTGTGTCTGTGTATGAGTGCATGTGTGGATATCATGTTAGATGCCAAATGTCATTTTAACTGCCTTATTAGAGGAGCCCGAAAACTAATTTTTGCTTTAAAATCTGTCCCATGATCTCTCCTTTCATTTGCATTAGCTTTGTGTCCGTTTCACTGTCTTCTAGTTCTGGTTCAGAGAGCAAGTGTGAGAAGAAAAATGTAGTAAAGCTCAAAGTGAACAATGCCCTCTACTTTTGTGTAGCAGCGGCAGACTGCAAAATGGCCACAGTTCCTCCTTCCCAGGTTCACACCCCTCTGCAATGTGACTTTGCTGTTCCTCCCATCAAGACGTAGAGTCCATTTTGCCACCCCTTAAATCTGGAATTGGCTGTGTGACTTGCTTTGACCGCAGGAATGTTATCATGAGTAATGTATGAGCGTGCAGGGGGCTTGCCCTCCCTGCTGCTGGAACCTTCCCACCACCACAAGAACAAGCCCACACAAAGCCTGCCAGGGAATGAGAGGTCATATGGAAAGAGGTCTTCATCTTCCCAGCCACTCCAGCCATTTGAGCTGAGCCCCCAGGATGTAGATGAGCTTGTCCCGGACCATCTACCCTGGCCATGCCAGGCCTGATGAGAGCACCCCGCCAACCCATAGAATCATGAAAAATAGTGTTTGTTGGTTTAACCCACTTCATTTTGTGATGATTTCCAATGCATCAAAAACTAACTAATATAACACTTCCAATAAAACTTTTGTTTTACCCCCAAGGCTCTGAGGAAAATGATGAGATGGGGATAATTTGCCTTTGGAGATACTAACCTCCTACTTTAGACCTTGAACTCTTCTGAGCCAATGATCTTACCTTAGTCTGTGTCCCCACCACTGAGCACACAGTGCCAGGAACACAGCAGAGCTCACTAAGAGTAAAAGGAACAGAAGAAAGAGAAAGAGGAGAGTTGGAAGAGAAGAGAGAGAGGGAAAGAGGGAGGAGAAAAAGAGGGATGCATGAAACACACATCAGGAATGAGTCTTGAAATGAAGCAGTGTCTGCAGGACCCTTGGCTTCCTTGCTTGGCTATAGAAGAGTTGACTACAATCTTCAAATGTTAGAGGAGCCATGGCAGATTATCCAAAAGTTACAGCAAGGAATCAGAAATTAAACTGTGTCACCAGATAGAGGTTGACTCTGATCAACTTATTTGTGGCAAATACTTTCAGTCCAGCAGAAGCTCCTCATATAAGAACCTCCTTTTTCCATAATCCTAATGATGGCAATATTAGTCAGAACACCTGCTTGCCCCTTTCTTGGAAATATTTTTCTTCATCTCAGATATGCCACCTTAGAATAAAATCTTCTCTCAGATTCTTAACATTTCTCCAACTAAAGTCATGTCAGAATGGAAAAAAAAAAGTGGGGAAAAGGGAAACAAAACCCACTCCCAAAGCCCCAGGAAGCCCCATGGTTTAAAAAGCCCTACCGCCCAACTCACACGTCCGTGAACTTCCTGTGAGGATTTGTCACCACCATGGGCAAGCCATTGGCAAATGGGGGCTCACGGAGAACCTGGTACCTCACAGGCCTGCAGCCAGAGCACAAGGGACTGTGGGGCTGGGAAGTCAGCAGAGCTGCATCAATTTCCATCCGCTCATCAAAGGTGTAGACTTTCACCCCTGAGACCTTCCCATCGACATGCAGTTTGATAGTGAGTGGGGTGTCACAGAAAGTGTCTAAGGGGCCCAGGTGCACAGAATCCTGGTGTTCCAGCAAGATCTCCGTGTCAAAGAGTGCCCGGGAGGAGTCCATGGAGAGGTAGGTGACCCATAGGGTAAGGGTGTCAGCTTGGACCGGGTGCTGGAAGAGCAGCTCCAGGCTACAGCCTTCTGCAGGGCAGGGCACCGTCATGTTCATATGGTACAGGTGGAGCTCAGGACTCCAGGCCTGCAAGCTCGGCTCACAAGGCTGGTCCACGTCTGGAGGCCCTGAGGGAGATGAACAGAAAGACAGACTCATTAGGAACTGCCATTAAGTCTGAAAATGAGTAGCTCATATGAGCAACCAGAAAGAAGAATGAGGAAGAGAGCTTTGAGCTAATGCCTACAGAAGTTGGTCAACTGAATGGATTAGATCTTGAGTACTACGGAGGACAAAGGTGTAACAATGTAAAAGTATTCTGTCTTGCTCCATAGCCCCTCCACATGACGCCTTTAACAAGAGAAGTCTAGCAAGGCATCGGGAATGGAGTGGCCCAGATCCCAGGTGGAAACATGAGGCTGATGCAGAGAAGGTGAGTCATGTCCTTCAAGAGTCCTTGAGCAGAGCAGAATTATTTGTACTTAGTTTATTAATAATTTATGATAAACCACTGCTTCTGAAACCCTTCTTTACTTATGAATAAGGCCAATGTTTGTTTTAGCATGTCATTACATCCTGTTTAACTAGTTCAGGTATGTGTGAGCAGTTAGGTCACTGCATGGAAGAAACTGCAGACAGGAAATAGAAACATGTATTCTTGACTGGAAAAAAAAATGGAGATCCCAAGTAGCTAAGTAAAATGAGATGATAAAAAGTCAAATATTGCAACTATATTAAGGTCAGTTCTGTGAAAATCATCTATCAAAAGGTTTTTTATTATCACATAAGGGGAAATTAAGAAAAAAGTGCTAAATTAGGAATCAGCAGAGTTACACTCTAATTGGTGTTGTGCTATTAGCTGTGTGACCGTGGCAAGTCTTTATAAAGCCTCAATTTCCTCATTTATGAAATAAGCATTATTTAACCTGTGGTTTACTAGGATAGTGTAGAAGATCTATACAACGTTCCCTAGAAACATAAATAGAATTATTTAGCCCTTCAGAATTTGGAAAATAAAGAATATTTCAAAGCCCAGAGGAAACAAGTTCAAACGTGTGTGTGTGTGTGTGTGTGTGTTACATCTCAAAGCCTTTATCATCTTTTGCCTGTACTGTGAATCCATTCATTCACTTATTCATCCATTCAACAAAACTTGACTGTGTATCTCTTTCACATCTAGCACTGATGTAGGTATTGGATACAGAGTAGCAAACAAGAAAGATAAAGGTCCTGCCCTCATAATCCTTAGGGTAGGGTGATAAGTACAAAACTAAATTGATAAAGTGGTAATGGCATCTTTGAAGAAAAATAAAGAAGGATAAAGGACTAGAGAATGAAGGGGTAGGACTAGGGTCTCTTTTAGATTATAGAGCCAGGGAGGTTCTCTCCAGAAAGATGATATTTAAGCAGGGAATGTGTCTGGTTCAATTTCCTATTCCGCATAGCATCTTAGAAAGTGGTTGGTGTTCATTAAGTGTTGTTAAGTATATTTAGATCATATCTGTAGCTATATGTGTTTGTGCACACTCTGCTGGGGATTCACTCACCTTCGATGTGTATATTTTAAATATGACTTCGTTCTCCATCTTTTCAAAGCAAAGGAAGACCAGTATTTCTTAGCAGTATTTTCCAATAGCCATCCCCAAATATAGCAGAGTAAAAGCCCTTGGAAGCCACCCCAACAGCACTGTTGTCTCAGAAAGATTTTATTATGATCTCACATTAAGACATGAAGCGGAGGCCTTGAAAGTTGACCTGGTTTGCCTCAAAACACAATTAGAACCCAGAACTTCTAATTCCTTTCACCTCTACAACATAACTTTAAATTTTGCCAAGAATTAAAAAGAGAGAAGTGCAGGGCCAGGGGGTTGAATGGGCATTAGAACACTAGCACAGGACAATTTGTTTGCCACAGAGATGGCCTTTTATGAAAAGCCAATCTCTACATGAGTCCAACACAATACCAATGTGAATTTTATAGTCACTTTCCATTCTTCCTTGAAAACTCTCATTTGAAAAAAGTTCCATATGGTCAATCAAAATCAAGTATATTGTCTCCCTCCTAATTTCTCCTGGAGGCTCCTGTCATTTGAGTAACTGGGAGCTCAAGGGGACATTTTACAGATACTGTTGACTCTAAAACCAGTGTCCTCCCTTTTTTTTTTTTTTTTGGTCAGAGTCAAGATGGCAAACTAACTCAAATAGGACTGTGTCCAACTCATCTTACTAAGTAGTTTTTAGGATCTTAATAAATACAAAAGAAGGAAAAAGATGATAACTAGGTAAACATTGAAGATGGTGGTCATAGAAGACGCCAAGCCATTCAACAGAAGGTGCTGAAACTTGTCAACACCATTTTCCGGACTTGAACTGGGATAACATTCATGCTTTAATTTGTCCTAGAGGCCTTGATATTCATATGTGAGTGAATATTAACTGAGAAGTAGGGCGAGGAATAGGAAAAGGGACAGCTAAAAACATTTTCCCCCTCCTAGAGCCTAACTAAGATCACATCCAAAGCACAACGAGTACCAGTGATTAACAGACTCATAAAATAACATAGAAAAGAACAATCAGTTTGGAACACCTAGTCCACCCCACCCCCACCCAGACCAGCTTGGGCCGTGCATCGATGTTTCCTGCAATGTGTTCTCTATTACTCTCCTGATAGAGATCAGCTTACACTGTTACGTGGCAAGGCTGCTCCATGGGCCGGTAGGTGTGCATAACACAGAACGCCTGAGCTCTCACCCTGAAGTCACCCCCTGAGCTCAGCTGTCTTCTCCATCGCTCTGTTCTCTATGCTGACCTCTGCTTCACCACAGCCATTGGGCCTCCATGCTAAGCACATGTGGGACACAGGCCCCCAGAGATATCCAGCAAATCATGCGCATGCACGCGCACGCACACACACACTACCTTTTTCTCACCACACCACCATTCGACTCTGTACCCCCACCCCCATTCTCAGCAGCCACAAAGTATAAACAAAAAAGCTATGGTCCTTTACCCACAGCCTCCTCTGGAGTCCAGTAACCTGAGGAGTCACACACACGCCGGGAGGAAGCTGTGTGCACGTACTGACGGAATGTCCCATCTTCAGTGCAGGCACCACACACACTGCCTGGGACCCTGTAAAGACGAAGGGGGAAGGGAGGTGAGGAGAAGTGGTAGGATGAACTGGGATCATGAAATTCGGAAAGCCTCTGGGGGTGGGGAGTGGTGACAGGTAGTGAGGTCCTAGGGGGTACCTGGGAACACAACCACTTCTCAACTCATTTCCTTCTTGTGTAGACCTCATCTTTTAAAAATTCACAGTGACATGAAAATCTCAAGGTTATGAAGCAGAAGAATTTAACTAAGTCATAAAGGAGGCCTGTGGAGATGAAAGTGGGCAGCTTCTATCCTAGGAACATTCAACACAAAATAATTATAATCTAAATCTTTCAACACAAAACTCCTTACTAGGCTGACTTTCAATAAGTCATCCAAAGGCCCCTTACATTCCCCCAACTAAAACAGACAGCAGTTTGCAGAGTAAAGTTATTAGCTATATGTGGTCTTATGTTTTAAACTCCCTACTTTAAATCACATATATAAAATAAAAGTCATATGAAATGTGATGTCCCTTGGCTCTGCATCACCTATGGCAAATACATCCAAATTTCTTACCATGATCCAAGGTTCTTCACTAGCTAACTCCAGCCTTACTCACTTGAGCTCCTCTATGAACTTATGTTCCAAGCACAATGAACAAATCACCATTCTTCAAATACATCCTACCCTTCTCACAGTTCTGTGAAACATGCTCTTTTCTCTCCTGACAAATAGCCTTTTCAAACCTCTCTGCTTAGCAAACTCCAACTCATCCTTCAAAGCCCATTCAAATGTAACCTTTGCAATGGCACTTAGCTTTACTCCTCTGCATGGAGAGCACTCTCTCCTCTAGGCACCCACCACAGCTTCTGGCTCCTGTCTTCAGCCATTGCTCTGTGATGTTGAAAATCCCACTCCCATTCTCTCCTTTGCCTGTGAGCGGTCCAGACCAAGCTGTGTTCTTTCTGTGCCCAGCAGTTAGTACAGGGACTGGCCTCAGCAGTCCCTCTGTGAGAGCTTGTTTTATGGGCATCCCTGAGACTATTAGTACAGTTTACAAAGAGCCCTTTAACTGCTAAATAACAAGAGGAGATGAGGCTCTTCTCTGATATTTAGATGAGGCTCCTCTCTGATACTTGATGAGGCTCCTTTCTGATATTTAGAATCTTTTTAGAAGCTCAACTGTGAATGATGCATCTGAAAATGAAGACATCAAGTCAAGGTCTCCCACAGGTAGGGACAGAAAATGAATATCTTGTAATATACCAGAAAAATAATATAACTATTAAATAGAGGTAATAATTATGTTACCAGCTCCCTCTTTTTCCCAGCTCCCATTTCTAAGCACTTTATATGCCTGTCATTGTGCCACTAGGTGCTTTCATAAATCATTTCTAATCCCTACAAGAACTCTGTGTTTATAAATGAGGACACTCAGGCTCAGAGAGATTAAGTCAATTGCCTAAGGTCACAGCAAGTTCCTTAATTCCTTTGAGCAAGTTCCCCAAAACCATCAAGTGTCCAGCACTTTGGCAATGAAAAGGTGCAGTTAACTGCAACCTCTGACTCTGGTCAGCACCCACTTCTAGTGTGGACACAACTCCAAACCACATTTCCTTGATGTACTTGGCCTCTCCGGGGCCGCTGCTGAGTACGTGGTTGGGCTCCTCTCTGACATAAGAATCCCAAATACCTACTGGGGAGGAGTAAACATAACTCCAAGCATGACACAAATCGCTGGGTATGTGACGTGAGTCTCCCCGACACACATGTTGGGAGGCCTCCACACTGTGGCCCACCTAGCTGAGGAAAGGAAGCAAATTACAGCCTTTTCTGCCAACAGACTCACAGCCTGCCAGTACTGATGTCTGCTTTATCGTGACGTTTGTACCAGAGGGAGAATTGAAAGATTAAATTGTTTACATGTGTTACATAAACTGATATAAAACTCCAGGCTGCACATGCCCACGGAGGACTTAACTGTTCAGCCAGTCCGACCAAAGCTGCACAGGGTCACCCTTGCAGGAAGAAGATTCTTAAACACATCACATTTGTTGACTTGCAGATGGAGCCCACGAAAGCTGGGGTGCTGACGACAGTCAGAACTGCTTTGTAGGATTGTTAAGTTCCAAGTGACGTCATGCATTAAGCATACATCAAGGTATCGAGGACAGGTATCAAGATCCAGAAGGCTGGGCACACCACTTTGAAAAAGGATTCACTTGCTTCCTCCCATCCCTGTCTCTCCCTGTCTTCTCTGCCAGGCTTTCAGGAAAGATGGAGTACATGGAAACATGCTCCAGGGACATCCAGCGCCGTGGCCGGGGCCTGATACCCAGTGGGGAAGTGTGACACCTAGAAGGGGGGCTATCTGCCTGCTAAGTGGGAAAGCTCTAAGTTCAAAGAAATAATCTATGCCAGGTTTCCTGTTTCTGAAATTCCAGTGGATGCCCCACATTCACCTCTCTTCAGTTGTGGGGTCTTGAGCTAGCCACCGTGCACTTCTCTGTGCCTTGGATTTCTCACTCATAGGGCAGTTGTGTTTATCTCAAGGACTGAATAAGACACCTGCAGGTAAAATACCCAGCACAATGCTTCACACAAAGATGGACCAAAGAGACAAGAGCTACTGTTGTTCTTTAAAATATGGTGGCAGGAAAAAATTAATTAATTAAAATAAAAATAAAATACAGTGGCAGGGCTTGAAAGTAGAGAGCCTGCACAGGCCACCTAGATGGAGTTCTGGCCCTGCTTGGGGAAACCACGTTCCCCCATCCTCCCACCAACTGTCAGATGTGCTGCTTTTCCTACCTTCTCCCCTTTTTACAGAACTTTCCCTGGTATCCATGTATCCCAATATGCAAAGGATGAATAAAAGCTAATTTTAGATATAATGACTCTCTTTAAAAAACATGTATCAGGGGCGCCTGGGTGGCTCAGTTGGTTAAGCGACTGCCTTCGGCTCAGGTCATGATCCTGGAGTCCTGGGATCGAGTCCCGCATCGGGCTCCCTGCTCAGCGGGGGGTCTGCTTCTCCCTCTGACCCTCCTCCCTCTCATGCTCTCTGTCTCTCATTCTCTCTGTCTCAAATAAATAAATAATAAAAAAAATCTTTAAAAAAAAAAAAACATGTATCAGGTGTCCATTGTGGCAGGCCAAGAGACAAAGACGCAAAGAATAGTCCTTCCCCAGGGAGCTGCGGTTGAGCGGGGCAAACAGGAAAATACACAGATAACGATTCCACAAGGCAGCAGCCCTAAGTGGGACAGGCACCAGGTCCAACAGGAAGCAGAGAAGGCATTAGAAACACCACACGAGCCAGTGAAGGCCCTGTGCCCAGCTTATAGCGGAGGGTAGCCTGCCACCCCCCTCCCCCCAGAACTGCCTGAAGGAACGCACCTCCCCTCCTTCCCCCCAACTCCGCTGTGCAAGCAGCAAGCCTCTGCACCACCCTCGCGCCAGGGGGCAATGGCTGACCTGGACAGGTAGCAAAGGGCACCTCAGCTTTGTCAGTCCACCTCTTCATGGCTCCTGGAAGCCTGCCAGCTATGACATTCTGAAGGAAGCACGTGCCAGGCCCCTCGCCAAGGAGTGAGCACACATGGTGAGCCACTGGTTTACCTGAGAGCCCCGTGAGCTCTGCTAAGGAGATGAGGATGGGGCAGGATGGAGGGGCAGCCCTGAGCAGCGGTGCACATGTTTATTGGTCCAAGCTGGGTCTCCCCTCACTTCACGTTCTTCCCCTTGTGCATAAAAAATGCCACAGAGAAGACAGAGCATGGCAAGTGCCTCTCACCTGTCATACACAACCCCACTAATTGGAGGAAGCCAGTGGATGGTGAGGGATGTGTGGGTCTGCCCAATGACCATGGGTGGGAGGGGAATGGGGGTGGGCTTCCGATTTTGACTCCACTGCTGATACACAAGATCCAAATAGCAATGCATCCGGGCCACTTGGTTAGGGGTGAAGCTGTTGGTGCAGTCATCATCTGTGGAGACAAAAAAAGGAACAGGAGAGATAAAGGTCTTAACCTGCAAAGACCACCAAGGCGGGGATGAAGTCCGCCTTGCTCATGCCCTAAGTCACTAGCACCCGACACAATGCCTCACACTTACTGGGTTCCATAAAGACTTGTCAAATGACTAAATGTATTCTGTTCCAGAGAGTATCTAAGCTGCAAGTGGGAAAGAGAAGGCAGAGAATAGTGCTTGCTTATCCCTAAAGCAGGACCATTACCCTACTGTTGGGCCAAGCCAGGGTGAGACTCATGCCCTGGGGTGGAAGATTGCTCCTAGCTGATGGTTACTTATTCAGGAAACCACAAGATGGCAGTGTTTAAGCATATGGGCTTTTTATTCATGAACGTTTCTGGAGTTGCAGACACCTGCTTTATGCCCAGTGACTCTACCAAGGTTAGGGAGAATTCAGTGGAGATGCTCAAAGAAAGAGCAAACCAAAACATCAAGGATGCAGTAGGACTGGGAATGGAGGTCCCAACCTTATTTTTGGAGCCTGCAACATCTCCCTGTTAGATACAATTTTCATAGGGCTGGAAAAGGAGTTATCTTAGTTTCAGAGCCTTTTTTAATGAGAGCACACCAGTCAAACACTGCCCCCTGTTTCTTAGATGTTTTCTCTGCCCACTTCAAAGGTGGTAACTAAACAGCTCTGCCTCCTGCACCCCATTGTCTGGTCTCCCCTGGCAAGGGCCACTGTGTCCTTGCTGAGGGAGGTAGGGATGCTGGTCCTTATGAATTCAATGCACCTGAATTATATACCAAAATGAGACTTGGATTGAAATATATCGATAAGTCACAAGCAGGACCAGCTCACCACTCTTTTCTTCCCTTCAAAGGCATGACCAAGGTCTTGTGATTTATCTTTTTTTTTTTTTTTTTTCTGGATAGTCCTAGAATTTATCACCAAACAAGCCCCTGGACCTTACAAAAAAATCATCTCCTTCCTTCTCCCTAGAATAAATCATCAGATCAAATCAGTCCTTACTTTCAGGGATAAATTTGAGTCCGTTATCAAGAGACTATGATTAGTACTACTTTTTGCCAGAAATGAGGAAGATAAAAGAGGACAGGAAGAGACATAATCCAGGATACCGAGACCAAATAATAGGGTTGTTCCCAGGACCAGGAGAGCAGTACCATTTTTTAAATGAGACAGTATTTTTTTTAAACTATCCAAGATAAAAGAGTATTCTTCTTTTGACCTCTAGCAGAGGAGAATCCAGTCCACAAGACCCCTTTATGTCATATTTCTTTAAGTTCTTCAAAGACATGAGAAAAAAGAACATGGCATGATAGATACACTTCAGCTCTCTGGCATGAATGACCACTTCACGGGCCTCTCCACCTCCCACCCCTCCACAGCCAAGTGGAGTCAAAGTTGGAAGCCCACCCCCACGCCCCTCCACACCCCACCCCAGCCACAAAGGGCTCCCATGTAATCTTAATAGAAAATAGTCACATTGAGACTGTTGTGGTACCTGTATAGCTCATGTAGTTGCTGAATGGAGCCCCTGGGAAGTGGGTAAAGCCACAGGTGTCATTGGTAGGCTCTGGGTCCTGGCACAGCTTACTCTTGGGAGTAGGGGCAGTGTCGGCACAGAGGTCTCCTGTATCCATGGATGGCACTGTCTCCCTACAGGGGTCATCACAGGATTCCCTCTCACTGACCCCTTTGAAGACATGGTAGAGTCCCAGGACATGTCCCACCTCATGGATCATAATGTTGGTATGGCCAGACATGCCATAATAGGCTGGGTTGAGGACAACACCACCTGCAATGGAAGGTTTGGAAAACATCTCTAAGCATGTAATGAATAGCAGCCCACTGATCCTTAATTATGCCTTCTGGTAAACATCGTGTTCAATTTCAACCTCTAAGGGAACACTTTATAACTTCTAGTGGCATTCAGTCCCTGCTCTTCCCTTTGGTAAGAAACACTCTCTAAACTAATCAATAAACACATCTTTAACCCCTAACATAGATGAGTGCTGTACTAGAAGCCAGGGATAGCAATAAAGACAACATGACATGATAGAGGGCCAGGATTCTCAGGGCTGGCTGCGCATTAACATCACCTAGTGGAGTTAAAAAACACAGATGTCCTAAAGAGCTAAATGTGAGTCCTAAAACTATAAAAATCCTAGAAGGGAGCACAGGCAGTAATATCTCTGACATTGGCTGTAGCAATATTTTTCTAGCTATATCTCCTGAGGCAAGGGAAATAAAAGCAAAAATTAACAATTGAGACTGCATCAAAATAAAAAGCTTCTGCACAGTGAAGGAAACAATCAGTAAAACTAAAAAGCAACCCACTGAATGGGAGAATATTTGCAAATGACATATCTGATAAAGAGCTAATATCCAAAGTATATGAAGAAGTTATACAACTCAACATCCAAAAAACAAATAATCCTATTTAAAAATGGGCAGAAGAAATGAACAGACATTCATCAAAGAAGACATCCAGATGACCAACAGACATATGAAAAGATTCAACATCACTCATCATCAGGGAAATGCAGATCAAAACTACAATGAGGTATCATCTCACACCTGTTAGAACAGCTAAAATCAAAAACACAAGAAACAGTAAGTACTGAGGAGGATGTGGAGAAATGGGAACGCTCTTGCACTGTTGGTGGGAATGTAAACTGGTGCAGCCGCTCTGGAGAATAGTATGGAGGTGCCTCAAAAAGTTAAAAACAGAACTACTCTACTGTCCAATAATCACACCACTGGGTATTTACTCCCAACATACAAAAATACTAACTCAAAGGGCTACATACACCCCGATGTCTATAGCAACATTATCTACCATAGCCAAATTATGGAAGCAGCCCAAGTGTACATTGATGGATGAATGGATAAAGAAGAGATAGTATGTATATATATTCCATTGTGTATACACACACACAGTGGAAGAGTATGTGTGTGTATACACACACACACACATATACACTGGAATATTATTTAGTCATTAAAAATAATGAAATCTTGCCATTTGCAATGACATAAATGGAGCTAGAGAATATAATGCTAAGGGAAATAAGTCAGTCAGAGAAAGGCAAATACCATATGATTTCACTCATATGTGGAACTTAAGAAACAAAATAATTGAGAAAAGGACAAAAAAGGGATAGAGACATAAGCCAAGAAACAGACTCTTAACTACAGAGAACAAATTGATGGTTACCAGAGGAGAGGTGGGTGGCGGGATGAGCAAAATATGTGATGGGGATTAAGGAGTACCCTTGTTATGATGAGCACTAGGTAATGTATGGAATTGTTGAATCACTATATTGTACACCTGAAATTAATATAACACTGTATGTTAACTATACTAGGATTAAAAGAAAAAATTAAAAATCTATTACACTGTTGGTAGAAATATAAATTGGTACAATTATGGAAAAGAGAATGGATGTTCCCCAAGCTATGCTTTTTAATTATAATTAATTCATTTCAAAAAAATAAACTTATATGTAGAAGCAGAAACAAATAAACAAACAAAAAACCCCACAGATGTCCAAATGCTAGCCCAAATGAAATGAATCCAAATATTCAAGGATGAGGATATATGCCTCAGTATTTTTTTAAAGATTTTATTTATTTATTGACAGAGAGAGAGAGTACAAGCAGGGGAAGCAGCAAGGAGAGGAAGAAGCAGGCTCCCGCTGAGCAGAAAGCCTAATGTGGGGCTCAATCCCAGGACCCCGGGATCATGACCTGAGCTGAAGGCAGATGCTTAACCAACTAAGTTATGCAGGCGCCCTACCTCAGTATTTTTTGAAACTTCTCCAGTAGAGATCCATTGGTCTCGGTGAACGCATATGGGGTTTAGAGCCAGGGAAGTCTGGGTCTGAATCCTGACCCTCCACATACCAGCTCTGAGTTCTTGAACAGCTATTTGACCTTCTAGAACCTCAGTTTCGTTGTCTGTAAAGCGAAGATGATGACACCTACTTCTTTGTTTTTGTGGGTTTGGGCTTTCTAAAGCATCTGGCACACCATAGGAGTTTAGTAAATGAGAGTTATGTGCACTGCTTTTGATTTCATGACCCCTACTCACAAGAAGCCAACAACCATTAAGACAAAAGACAAGTCCAACTTAACGACCATGCAATTCAGAATGTCAGAGGCATTGCAGGAATATGTCCTACCCCCACCTCTCCAAAATCTCCCTGAGAACACCAGGGGAGGTGTTTCAGAGAAGAGTTCATTGGATCCAATCTTAGCTTGGATGAAAGTAGTGGTATCATTGTAAATTTACAAAAGGAAAGGCTAAAGAATTCTAAGTGCCCCAACTTCTATGTGTCCAGCTTCCCAATCCCAGCTTTCCAATCCCAGATTCCAAACCCCTGCTTCCTTCCTCTCCCCATGTTTGAAACCACTTGACCTTCCTTCTTCATCTCCAAAAATTGTCAGAATCAGGCCTCATCCTCATCTCTAAGTCCTGAAACAGGTCATATCAATAGCTGTTTGGACCAATGGTCCAAATGGACGAACAAATGGACCAACCCTCTGGTTGTGTTTCCAGGCTGCACCTGCCCCTCTGTCCCAGATCTGATCCCAATTCCCAAGACTTGCTTCATTCATCCTACCTGAGCCCTCCCTATATCAATAGTCTAGTGAGTACAGCAGTCCCCCCAAAAGAATAGCCCTGCCTCTCATTCACAAGATCATATTCCAGGGACTATGTCTCATTCCTGAATTCTATGTGATGCCCTACACACAGCTACATAAATGGTTTTATGGGCCAGAACAGAATCACAGGGTATCTGGTGCCACATCCACTGGTTTCTGCAATAAGTGACTCAATCTGCCCATTTAGTGACTACCTTACTGCAAATGGCAGTTTCTAAATTCAAGTTCTAGGTTCTTCCCTTCTACTCAGACATGCTGACATTAACCAAGGCATGCTAAGACCATCCTGAAATATACTGTCTACTCTCACATCGAAAACAGAGCTAAACCTTATCTCCCTTGTGTATCATTTCTATCACTTCCAGTAAAAGTTCTTATTCTCCGACATTAACCTTATTTCCTTTTATAAAATTATTTTCTGTATATTTCTTTCATTTGTGCATCATTATGTCAACATAAAGTTAAAGTAATTTGAAAACAGATCTATTGCAGTAACAACCAGAATGCCCCGTATTTGAATAAAGCCAGCAAAATACAGTATTTCCACATTTCAAGATGGATATATTTTTTATTCCAGAATATTCCAGATCATGTTTACATCAATTGCAGTAGTATTCATCATCAAAGTTCATGCACCATTATGCTCTCAGCTCTCCTTCATTCACATCAACAAAGGTGCTCTAAGAGCACAGTGTTGTTTGTAAGTGCCTTCACTCCCTTATAGCTTCCTCTACCTACATACACGTCTTTCCTTCTTCCTTTCCCTTCCCCCACCTCTAAGCAAGGTTTGGAATCAAAAAACCAATCTGACAGAAACAGGTCTTTGAAAGGCTACAATTCACCTATAAAGTTGAAGTATCCACATGGAGTAGTTAGTTCTTCCTAAATTGAGTAGTATCCCATGGTTAAGTAGGCTTGAGAAAAATGCAGCATGCCACACCCACCTCCTGCAGATTTACACTGTGCCTGAGAATTTGTTCTGCTGAAGGCCCTGAAAAGCCCTATAGCAATTGTTTAACCTTCTGCTTCCCAAACTCATTTGAACACAGAATCTGTTTGAGGTAGAATACCTTTTGACATAAGGAATACTAGATTCCTTAGAGCACAATTCATGGAATGCTACCAAAGACAAAGAAAACTCCCAATCAATAGTTACTTTCTACCCATACATATGGTCAGTACAACCCCAAGACCTCTTGGGATCTTCTCCAGTGATAGGAGAAAGGGGTTATGGGGGTGCCTGTTGGCTGAGTTGGTTAAGCATCTGCCTTTGGCTCTGGGTCATGATCTCATGGTACTGGGATAGAGCCCCTCGTCAGTTGGGCGCCCTGCTCAGTGGGGAGCCTGCTTCTCCCTCTCCTTCTGCTGCTCCCCCTGCCTGTGCTCTCTCTCTGGCTCTCTCTCTATCTCAAATAAATAAATAAAAATTTTTAATTAAAAAGAAGAAGAAGAAGAAAGGGGTTATAGCTGAACAGAAATAAGATTCTGGGAGGAAGGGATGGCAAAAAATAGGAAGGAGGAATGACTGGGAGTGTAGTCAGAGAAGGATATGAGGGTGGTCATTATCATAGTGGGTGTCTCATCAACCTCCAGAAGTTTTTGCCTCAACCCCAAATGAGATATTTCCAAATCTAGAATATTCTCTTTTCAATAAACCAGCTTACTTATAAGGAGAGGAAGAAGCATAAAAATGCAAATCCTCAACACACCCAGCAAATCTCCTCCACACCAATGACAGGAGGCCAGGGTTTTCCTCCATAGCACTCTTAATGCACATTCCCCAAACAGGAGAATATAGATTTAACACACAGCACTTAAATTTTAATTAAAAACATAAATCTTCTAACACACTTACTGTTGTATTTTTTATTCCAGAAAGATGGGATTTTTGCCCCTAAATTATCGTATGGAACAGAGTAGTGAGCTTAGTTGCTATGTGTGTGTTAGATAGAATATTGTATATTCTAATTTAGAAGTAAGTGCTCTGTATACCAATACATGTTGAGGAAAAAGCCCAAGGTCCTCTTACAGTAATTCTGCTCAATAGGGCCAAGTGATTATGGAATCACACTGGACCAGAACTTAAGGAACTTGGAATGTGGTCCTGACCCTAACTAGCTGTATGAC